GGCGAGGAACAAGAGGGAAATAATACATCTTCTTAAAACCCTTCTCTCTTTGTTCTCTACAAGTCCCTTGACCCTGCTTTTGATATCTTGGAAGATTACAAAACTTGCATTCTCTTGATTCGGAGTCAATACCTCAGTATATCATCCAATTATTTCGACAACAATCAATCTTTTCCACTAGTAATCCTAATCCTTGAACTAATTTTTTTTTCTAATAAAAATTATCCACCATCGAATGGCCTTCAGGCAACATTTTGTTTTGATAACTGCATAAAATCATTGTAACACCTTTCTCAAAAATGCTGCTTTGCTTTCATGTGCAGTAATTGTGCTACTATAGATAGAACTGAATGATTCTTGCATCCAGACCACAATTTACTGTTAGCTGCACTTAGCATGTCAAACAATTGTTGTGCTGCATAGTTTGGCGATTACTCCATATTGTCCTAATGAAATTCTACTCTAGCCGCATCGATTATCATATCATTGCATTGATTACCTTACTAAAATTGTAAAAGTTGACTTTCTGAACTTATAGAAATAGAGTGGCCTAATCCATTGGAAACCCAAGGTTCACCATGATGTATCCATTCATAATAATTTTCCATGAACTCATTTTTGCATAAATGGAGTTTAATTGTTAAGAAGGCTCTATTTTAACACTTCTTGTGATTACATGGACACCTCAACTTATTATCATCCATACAATTGGGATTACTAACTGCAAACTGTATAAACGATTTCAATCCTTGCAAGAATTCTGTATAAACGATTTCAATCCTTGCAAGAATTCTTTTCTTAATATCCTAATGACCTCGTACCTCAAGTACATCCAATCTCGATTAGTCCGCATTTTTTACGTAACGAACACTCTATTTATAAAGGGCAAATTATATAGTTGTATTAGTCCTAAATCATCCTTAAAACAAACCAAAAGTAATGTTTCATTTACATTTCTAGCTTACTAATTATTTCTATAATAAGGGTAACTATATATATGTAAACTTGCTAAGGTTATTTCTAACTAAGGTTAATTATTTATATGTAAATTTACTAGAAAGGAAAACTTTCATCTTTGCCAATTAAAGTAATTAATCTCATTTTATTATGAACACTTTTTCTAAACCAAAATCTTTCGTATTCTTGTATTCTTCTTTTTACTTTTGGGGCACCATTAATTAAACTAATCTCATTTTATAGCACTTTTTCTAAATCAAAACCTTTGGTATTATATTCTTCTTTTTAGTTTTGAGCCACCACTAATTAAAAATGAAAAAAATACCCTGACTGAGTTCATAGCCCTACCTATGGACCAAAGCAATCAAAAATATAAATTTTTATTAAAACGAGAGTATTTTCAATCATATAATTGAAAAAAAAGATAAAATATGAATAATTTTTAAAAAGTCATTAATTCTATTGATTTGGTTCATAAGTGGGACTATGAACTCAATCTAGGCAATTATTTTCAATCAAAAATATATTTTCAGTATTTTGGTTATGTTTTCCCATTATCTCTATGCATTTAATGCATATATAAATCTGCTTTTATAGTTATTTCATTCATATTACTTAATCTTTTTGTTAAATTTATCAAAATAATTAAATAATACTACTTCCATTTTTCAAAGATAACACTGTTTCTATTTTTATATACATTAAGAAGAACTGTTTTCTATTTTTTATATACATTTAAGAAGAACTATTAAAAATTTCAAACAATAAGTTTACCAATATTACTTTCCTAATATAATCTTTCATTAATACTAAATCATACATTTGATGCCTGAGTTAAATATGAAAATGTTGAAAAAGGAAAAAAATAAATATAATTAGAAAAATAACAAATCAATTGTTTTCTAAAAATACAAACATTGCAGAAATTTGGTTATTACCTACAAATTTCAATCAGTAATTTGGGTAACAAATCAATTGTTTTCTAAAAATACAACATTGCAAGAAATTTGGTTATTACCTACAAAAATTTCATCAGTAATTGGGTTTGCCGATGAAATACCGGCAGAAAATTTTCCGTCGGTAAAACCTTCGTCAGTAAAATATTACCGACCCAAAATTTATTCCATATGTAAATTAATAGTGGGATATATTTATAATTTGGTTGGTAATTGGTTTGCAAAATATATGGTCGGTATTTCGTTAGCAATTTTCATTAGTAAATGGTCGCTAAGCCGTGAGTATTTTAAAAAGATTTTAAAAAATAAAAATTTTTAAATTATATTGTTTTTGAATTTTTTTATTTTTTCATAAATAATAATCAAATCAACTAAATTTATTATGTCTTAATAATTACACCAACTAAATTTGATTAATAATTAAGGTAATTAAAGAAAATTAATTATAAACACAAAAGAAAAAAAAAAGTATAGAAGAGGAGAAGAAAAAAGGATATGAAGAAAAAAGAAGATGAAAGAGAAATAGAAAAGGAAAAATAGAAAAATCATTTTTTTTTCAAATCAGATGGTATTTTCAGAGAGATGGGTTGATATGAGATGGATTTCTTTATTTCGATTATGAAGAGACTTCTCCATGCGAAATTTAAATCCAGGCATGAAATTGATAGATGATATAAGAAAGATTAAAAATCAAAAGTTGCAGAGAAGAAAAATGAATTAGGCAATGTTATGAAAAGACTTTTGATTATCTCTCTGTAGATCTATTTGCGAAAATGAATACTATAGATGGTTCTTGCAAAAATTGTTTTTGCAGATTTCTCATTCATGGGCTTTTTCGTGAGGATTTATATGGGAACATGATCCGTTGATGGTTATAATGACTTCATCTTAGAAGAACTTTAGCCACAAAGTAATATAGAGCAAGACTTGATGCTACTAGAAAATCAATAGAAAATCAGCTTTAATTCTTTATCTTGAAATGAATTTATTTTTTTTTAAAATATTTAATTTTATTTTTTAAAGATAGTTTTTTATAAAATTAAATGAAACTTATATTTAATTTTTACAAAAATAAATTTTTAATAAAAAACCAAATAAATGGTCTAATGTAAAAATTACATTCTCATCAACAAAACTAAATGAATTGTTTAATATAAAAATTTGTGAAAGTATGTTTGTTTATTGTTCTTATTTGTTAAGAAGATAAGGGTATTTTTGGATTAATAATTCAATCTCTCTCTTTTGAGCCTTCTATTTTCGCTTGACAAGTAGAATTTTTGAACAAAATTAGATGAAAGAAATAAAAGTTAGACAGAATGAAAATATATGAATGTCAAAAATTGTTTGTTAAAACATAGGGATTGACTAATTGTATTTCAATATATATACAAGGATGTAATCATAATTTTGCCTTTTAACGATATAATCAAGTGCTAGCTAGCCTTGTTTACTGCGCTACTTGCTATGTCTAAAAGTGGCTTAAAGATTTGGAATATATGGAAAATGTATCATAATTTTGCCTTTTAACGATATAATCAAGTGCTAGCTAGCCTTGTTTACTGCGCTACTTGCTATGTCTAAAAGTGGCTTAAAGATTTGGAATATATGGAAAATGTAAATGAACTTATTTTTTGTGGAATGAATTAAAGGAGCACAATAGCGACAAAATTGAGTGATTTTCTGAATATAACTGAAGAATTAAATAATAGTGAACGAATATAATCCATGTATTTTTAACAAAAAATATTGTGGTCTATTTCTGTAAAATATGTGTTTGACTCATTGGTTGTTATAAATCATATCTATTAAATATTTCAATTTATAAACTTAGATTGATTAAACAGTTTTTAGATAGTTTAAAAATGTGAAAATCATTATTTCAAGTTATATTAACTACATATCAAATTAATATTTTGCATGCAAACCTAAAAACTCTAAATATTATTGATATACTAACTTGAAAAGGTGAGTGCTATCAAAACTTTTAACTTTGTAGACATATAATGTCTTCCTAAATATTTAAAGTGTCACAAGATTTTTCATGAAAAAAAAAATGAATGAATTTATATGTTTCGCCTAAACAATATGCTAGATAATTAATAAGTGGATAAATTAGGGAAAAGACATTTGGAAAATAGTTAACAGAAAAAATAAACAAAGGTTATAAGTAATTAATAAGATTTTTTGTTCTCGCGGTCCACCACCATCCCTTTTCTTTACACTTGGACAACCTCTTATAAAACATCTTCACTAATTGTAGCACCTCAACCAGCAACACCATCTCCTACTGCCACCGTTGCCATCTTCTACTGCCATTCCTCTTGCCCATGCACCACCACCAATGGTAATTACTCAAAATATTCCTCAACTTTCATTACCTCCTCCTCCACCAACCACACAAATTCCCTCTAATCCACCTCATCCTATTACACAAAATCAACACGCCATGGTTACTCGATTTAAAACTAATAGCCTCAAAGCCAAAGCTAATCTCACCACTTGTGCCACCTTTATAGCCCTATGTACACCGAAGTTGCCAAGCATCAGGTTTGGCGACAAGCCATGTTAGACGAAATTGATGACATTAATATAGCAATTGGGATTTTGGTACTTTAAACACAAGCCTTTAATGTGATTGGTTGCAAGTGGATTTCTCAAATCAAGACTAAGCTGAATGGTTCTATCGATCGTTACAAGGCCCGACTTGTGGCCAAGTGATTTCATCAATGAGCCAATGTGGATTATGTTGAAACAATCAGTCCTGTTATAAAATTAGCCACTATACATCTCATTTTGTCTATTGCTGTCAATTCTAACTAGCCAATTCGCCAACTCAATGTTTCCAATGCTTTCTTGCATGGAGCACTTAAAGAACTAGTGTATATGGAATAACCTCAAGGCTTCTTGGATCAAACCAACCCCAATCATGCATGCTTTTTAAAGAAATCTTCATATTGGTTACAACAGGCACCGCAGGCGTGGTACTTTTGTCTTGCCTAAGCATTACAACTTTTAGGCTTTGAAAGATCTAAGGCTGATAACTCTGTTTTTATCTACCACAATGGTGCTCATATTGCTTATTGCCTTATGGATGTTCATGATCTCATTTTGACAGGTTCTACACCTACTATACTTTACACGTTAATTCAGCAGCTTAGGAATAAGATTGCTCTCAAGGATTTGGGTCCTCTCACCTACTTTCTTAGTATTGAAGTTGCTTGGATTCCAACTGGCCTTCAGCTTTCTCAATCTAAATGCATTTGGGATCTTCTACAGCATGTTAACATGCATAAGGATACTGCTATTTCAATACTGTCCTCGTCGCAAACCTTATCGGCAACTGACTCTTCTCACCACTTTGAAGATCCAACTCTATTTTGCCAAGTTGTAGGGGCCCTTCAATGTTTGGCACATACTCGACCTGATATTACTGGGACTATTAATAAAGCTGCTCAATTCATGCACACTACTTATATTAATCATTGACAAGCTATAAAGCAGATACACACTACTTATATTAATTCATATGACAAGCCTATAAGCAAGATTACTTCATATCTCAAAGGCAAATAACTGTTGAGAATCTGGGCCCTAGGAGCAATTAATCGAGAATCTGGGCCCTAGGAGCAATTAATCACATCAAATTCAATTATATGTTTAATATTGGACTTATAATGAGTTGGGCTTACCTTTAACACAAAATGGCCTAAGCCATTTTGGTTTGTTCACCCTTCACATTATATGCCCTTTTACTTTGTTGTATTTATCCGATGTGGGATTACCCACATACTCCAACACTCCCCCCTCAAGTGGAACTACCCACTTGACAAGCATACGATGGCCCAACACATGGGTCCATCAGGGTATGACCCAACACGGGAACTTCCCTCATGTAGGTTTGAGTCTCAGGCTCTGATACCATGTTGAGAATCTGGGCCCTAGAAGCAATTAATCACATCAAATTCAATTATATGTTTAATATTGGACTTATAATGAGTTGGGCTTACCTTTAACACAAAATGGCCTAAGCCATTTTGGTTGGCACAAAATGGCCTAAGCCATTTTGGTTGGTTCACCCTTCACATTATATGCCCTTTTACTTAGTTGTATTTATCCGATGTGGCATTACCCACATACTCGAACAATAATTGATTATGGCCCGGTTCTCCGTTCTTTGCGTTCAAATAATCTTATAGCTTTTTCTAGTCTAGATTGGTGTAGTGACAAAGCTGATAGTAAAAGTACTTCAGCTTATGATGTGTTTCATTATTCTAATTTGATCTCCTAGTGTTCAAAGAAGCAAAAAACAATGGCCAAGTCTAGTACTAACTCTGAATATTATGCCTTAGCCTCAGCCGCATTTGAGGTTTATTGGCTTCAGTGTCTTCTCTGTGAACTCCGCCAACCCCTTATTACAATCCCAAAAATATGTTGTGATAATGTTGATGCCATATATTTAGCTACCAACTCGGATTTACACTCTCATTCTAAACATTTGGAACTCGACTTTCATTTTGTACGCGATCGGGTTCGCTAGAAACACCTTGTCGTATCTTACATTTCCATTGCTGACCAGGTCGTAGATGTTTTGACCAAGCCACAGATGTCTTGACTAAGCCCTTGTCCAAGCAATGATTCCTCCTCTTGAAAGACAAACCGCTGGTTGTTCCTCCTATTCGTTTGTAAGGGGATATTAAAGAAAGATGACAACTTTGTTTTTTAAATTTTAAATTAGCCAATTTGTATCTCATTCATTAAGGGATCTCTGTTATATCAATCCCACTTGTATTGGGATTTTATTTTGTGTATACTTACTCAAGATACTCGTTGTGCTTTATATATATGAATTAATAGAAATCAAATATAGAGGAAAAAGTTTGATCAAGTTTTCTTGATTTATTTCAATGTTATGTTATTTGATAAGTGAGTGAGAGCCAAGGAGCTATGGTGGATGAAGAAGACACTTGTTCCCTAGAGAGAGGGTGACCAAAAATACTTGTGGAATCAAACTTGACATGACGAGCAAGGTAAAAGCATTGACTACTAGGATCTAAACATCGATGAGCATGGTGAGAAGGACTAGTTCATAAATAGATGCAAGGTATGGAACGGAAAGAGAATTTGTGTTTTGTATTTAGTCTAAGAAAGGGATAAATAGTGCAACCAAAGGGTTTTTGTGCAAGGTAATTTGAAAATAGTGCAACCAAAGGCAGAATTTGTGTTTTGTATTTAGTCTAAGAAAGGGATAAATAGTGCAACCAAAGGGTTTTTGTGCAAGGTAATTTGGTGGGGTGTGATACAAGTAGTAAAATGGACTGTGATTTTTAAGAGTTGGTGATGGCATGATATTAATTTACTGGACAATTGATTTAGCAGCATAATTTCAATATCATAATGGTAATTTTGCATGTGAAAGTAAGGTAAGAGTGGTATCTATGACATGATGAATTTTCCCTTCGGCGACACCGTTTTGTTCATAGGTTTATGGACATGAAATCCTATATTGAATACCATGCTGTTGAAAATATTTGTTTAGCTTTTCATACTCCCCTCCCTAGTCAGAATGGAATGCTAATATTTTGGATTGAAATTGACGATCAACTATAGCTTGAAATTAAAGAAACATTGAATAGACATCACTTTTATTTTTCAATAAATACAACCAAGTGAAACGAGTAAAATCATTAATGAATAAAAAGAAAATATTTATGACCAAAACTTGACATAATAGGTGTAGGACCCCAAATATCGAAATGAATGATTTGAAAAGGACCGATATTTTTATGTTCTACAGATGCTAAAGGTAGTCTAGATAATTTTCTTAAATTGCAAGCAAAACAAGGAGAAAAATTAAAATTAGAACAAGTTAGACTAAAATCTTTAATAATCTTGGAGACAGTTCCTGAAGCAGCTCGCACTTTCTTCCCAATATTTATATGTTTTGGCTTAAATGTGACAACAATATCAACACTGGGTATAAAGTATAAGAAAAAGGTTTCGTTTTCTGTGGCAAATGATTTTTCTGAGGATATTATGGTACAATATGATTTTGACAAGGTTCCTGCTTTGGTATCTGCTAATCCAAGTTATAATGAGCAAAGCATCTTTTATGGCCCCTTTAAAGGTTAGTTATATCCATTTATCAGGAACCAACCATTTATGTATATTTTTTGACTATTAACTAGGTTCCATTTACTAGAATAGAGGAATGGAATTAGGGATAGAAAAGGGGAAAAAGTAAGGAGAAAAAAAAAAAAACAGTAAAAGGAAGGTCCAATCATGTTGCATGTGTGTGATTATGCTTGGGCTGTCTGGTGTCAGTCAGTTTTGTTTTGGGATCTTCCAATTGCTAAAAATCCACATAGACAGAAATGCTGCTGATATATTGACAAAGGTTGTTTCGAAGGAGAAGTTCAAGCTTTGTGTCAAAGTAGCAGGGATGGAGAGTCCCACCATGTAGTCGCATAGGACAGAAATGCTGCTGTTATGATTTGACAAATGGTTGTTTCGAAGGAGAAGTTCAAGCTTTGTGTCAAAAGTAGCAGGGATGGAGAAGTCCCAACCATGTAGTCGGGAGGGGGAAGAATTGTTTGTGGGATCCCTCCAACATGTGGGACCCCACCACACATGTTTTTTTTTAAAAAAAAAAAACAGCTCATGTGGGGATTAATGCTCATCCACATGAGCTGTGTACAGCTCAACCCACATGAGCTGTGTACACAGCTTGCATGAGCTGTGTACACTTTCTTCTCCTATAAATATAGGAGAAGAAAAACCTCTTCGACACACAACACAAAATATAAATACATTTAAGAAGTGTAATAATTTTTAGGAAAAGGTTCCTCAAAATTGGGAAAGAGAGAAAAATAGTGAGGATTAATAATTTTTGGGAAACACTTAGAGTGCCAACTATTTTTGTAATGTCTTTTTCTAACTACTATTTCTTAGTAGAAGAATTATTCGAAATTTTTTGTCCCGTGGACCGTAGCCTAGCCCATAACAGTTGAAGGGCGAACCACGTAAATCTCGGTGTTCTTATTTTTCATCTGGCATTTACGGTAATTATTTAATTTTTATCGTGGTTATTATTTTTGGTGGATTCGATCGTCAATATCCAATACGTAATTATTGGAGCATTTTTTCTACGGGCCCCACTCAGGATCAGTTATAAACCCAACAACTGGTATCAGAGCCTTTAGTTGGTAAATTCTGTCAGTTTCTACAAAGTTACTATTCACGTGAATAGTGAATTTCATGAATAGTAAATTTTTGTCAGATACAGAATTCGACATGGCTAACGACGGAGCAATGATCAAATTGATGGATTCGAATTATTCAATGTGGAAATCTAGAATGGAGGACTACCTCAATTGCAAAGATCTGTACGATCCAATTGAAGGATGGAGGACTACCTCAATTGTAAAGATATGTACGATCCAATTGAAGGTGACAGTGCAAAGCCGGAAGAAATGAAAGAATGGCAGTGGGAGAAATTAAAAAAGTAGACATTGGGTACAATACGCCAATGGAGAGGTGCTAGCCTGTACAACCATGTGAGAAATGAAAAAGATCCCCAAGTTCTCTGGAAGAAATTAGAGAATATGTACGATGCTACGAATGCTCAAGGAAAAGTCTTCATAATGCGTAAAGTCATGAACTTGAAGCTGTCAGAGGGACGATCAATTACACAACACCTGAACGATTTTAAAGGACTCGTAACTGAGTTAGCAGTTAGCGAGTTAGCGGGTATGTCTTCGATGACGAGATGCCAAGCATGCCTACTTTTGCGGATCTCTATGGATAGTTGGGATACCTCTTGTGGGTAATCATTGAGTAACTCAACTCAAATGGTGTGGTAACAATGTCTATGGTAAAGAATAGACTACTCAATGAAGAACTACGAAGGAAGAGATGTTGCGCAGTACCAGTTCACAAGCCCTTGTCACAGAGAATAGGGGCTGGCGCAAGAGTAAGCAAGTCCAAGGCATGAAAAATTCAGGTGGTAGATCCAAGTCGTAGAGAGATGAGAAAGTGTTACATTGCGGTAAAGAGGGTTCATCTCAAAAAGAAATTGTCGTTTACTCAAACAAGATAATGCCAAACCGAAAGACAGGAGAATACAGAAATACATCTACTATAAGTCTCAGGAGAAGATGGTGAGGTGACTTTAATCACTCATGAATGCAGATTGTTGTCATGTTGAAGATGCAGACACCGAGTGGATAAGTAGACTTCCGGTGCTTCATACCACTGTGTTCCAAAAAAAGGGAATATTTTTCCACTTATAAAGCAAGAGATTTCGGCACTATTAGAATGGGAAATAATAGTGTCTCGCAAGTGGTGGGAATCGGTGATATCTGCATATAGACAAGTGTCGGGTGCACATTAACACTTAAAAATGTGAGACATATTCTTAATCTTCGGTTGAAACTGTTGTCTGTGAGTGTACTGGACAAGGAAGGCTACCACCATCATACAGGTGACGG